ACTGGTAATGCGAACCAAGCTCTGGCACCGGTCATACAGGGACCTAACAGCCCATGTCAATGGGCCAGGTACCCCATACTCCCGGAGTACCCCCACAGGACTCCCTGAGGGACATGGGACACAGACAAACACCATCTCCAAGCCCAAAAAACACATGTAGACTGGTTGGGCGAACTCCTATGCACCCTCCAGGACCCTGCTGAGGGTGTAGAGCTGGTCTGCTGTTCCACGACCAGGACGAGAACCACACTGCTCTTCCTGAATCCGAGATTCGACTATCCGTTTGACCATCCTCTCCAGGATCCCTGAATAGACCTTGCTTGGAGTTCCTCCTGGGGTCTTTGGCTCTGGCCTCCCCTTATGTCTGCCTCGTGCCTCGGGGGTTGGCTCTGGGACTCCCCCACAGTCACTATTATACATTCCGTTGGAGAAATCCTGTAAATTTATGCTTGCTCACAACCGCACGCAGACAGGTGTTCAGATCCGAGGGGTTCTGAATGATCACCAGGTATATATAGGTGGGTGTTTTTTTTATCTGTCTAAATGTATACATGTATGCTTTTGCTAAGTTTTGTAACCTTAATTCTTTGCTGGTGTGCAGACAGAAGTTGGATGTATTGTATTGTTTTCTTGACATATATCTCACATATCATCAATTCTTTCTTTCACTTTTTCCATTACATTGTAACATCTCTTTCCTTTCTTTTTTTCCTTTCTTTCTTCTTCTTTCTTGTCTATCTAAAAAAAAGCCACTGATGATGAAGAAGCTAAGATACTAATATTCAGATATTTAGTACTGCTTTCTACTGACATGGTAAAAAAAAAGACTATACAAGTTGAAAGAAAAATTTTACATTTTGCAACAGTATACATTATGCTGTATATTTGATTTAGGCCTATAATAAAGGAGAGCCACCTTGTTCTAAATAAAAATTGATTTTTAAAGTCATTGTGTAAAGTTTAGGTACTCGGTATCAGAGAGTACCTAAACTAACTTACTCAGTTTGAGAAAAACTGTTATCGAGACACCCCGAGAAAAAACAAAACCAACCCTTTTCTTTTCACCTGGCAGTGGTTTGAAATACATAACTGTGTAATATCAGTCCAAGTGACTGGATTTTTCTGCAGTTATTACTACTCAAGCATGTCAGCATTCTTTTTTTATTAACTTTTTTCAAATTAAAAACATTTTCAATGCATTATGCTAATTGCAGTAATATTTGATTGAATTTGACCATGAAATCCATTTAAAGCTTTAGCTGCCATACAGAATCTTCTCAGCGGTTTCAAAACATGTTGTCAGGCGTGTGTCTGCGTGCGTTTGTTTTAGACACAGTCCTGACAGCCCAGGCGTTTGGTAGATGGAGCCGACCTTCAGGTTAATGATTGTTGCAAGTGGAGCTCAGACCAGCATGTTTCTGTGTGCACGTGTGGGCAGAGGACTGGGTGTAGAGGTGTCAGCAGAAACAGGCAGCAAAAAGAATGAGGAGAGCTTCTGACTGTAAGCCCGAGAGGAGACGCCGCAATCATCTGTTTGTGAGCGTGCGAGGTTTGAAACACAGCGAGCAGGTCAGAGTCTACTCTGTATGGCTATAGTTTTTTTTTTCTATTATTTTGGGTAGAACTATGTGGCTGCAGAGATTTCTGCCTCTGTAATAAAATAGGACTCGGTCTAGGATTTTATTTTCCAAAATGAGATCCAATACCAAATAAGAGAAATGTCATGGTGCGAGTGTTTCCATCCCTTTGAAGCCATTAATATTTCCATGATTTACCGTTTCATATAGGGCAGTAAGATTCATAAAAAATGTGACAGTGAACAACTTTTATTCTGTCTTCCTGAAAATGATCCACTCATTGCTCTTCATGTTTTTGTCTGATGAAATGTGCCGACTCATCAGGACTGCAGATTCTCACAGAATTTCATCTTCCTTTTGAGAAAGGTATTTTCAGCCATTTATGTCTATAATACCTTCCACGGGGACAGAAAGTACCTGATTATATTGACACACCACATGCAAACTGACATGCTGAAATGTGAACTATACTTGGAAGCATGCAAGGCTCAAAGGCACTAATACAGGCTGTAAGACAGCTTCGTCTGCGTAAAATGTAGCCTAGCCAATGAGATTTTGGCTGCAGTGTTATTGAGTCAAACGTTGATTGGTCTTGTCTGCATTTAGCGTTTTCATCTTCTTTTGAGAGTTTGCTTTGGGTATTTTTTTATTATAGTGTGCCATGCTGAATGGGCCTGTCTCTGGACACTGGGTGCAGATGAAGCAGTCATTTAGTTGAGCTGTCAGAATAAACACACATAAAATTAACATCTGCAGGTGAAGTTACTCTCCATCCTCCCCGCTGTGGCACACCAGAAAATAACCGAAAGAGGTGATAGATGTTCTCAGGACTAAAAGTTTCTTCTATGTCTTAATTACTTTGGGAATGTGAAAATCTGATATTGCAGTACTAGTTTTTTTTTTACATAATTCCTTATCTAAAAGTCCTTTGCATACCACCACTGTATAAGGACTGTTGACCTTGAACATTTCAAAGTTTTGAAATCCCTTTCTGAGTAAAGATGCAAAAAGTGCTCACAGCCACAACAATGATCCAGTTTATGTAAAAACTCAAAAAACTTATCATTCTTAGTTACTGAAAAGTCTGTCTTCCCAGTGAACAGCCTGACCACTTTTAAACTATTACTTTCAATGGAAACTTAGACTTAAAACTACTAACCAAATCAAAACTGTCTACACCATCAGCAGCTTTTTGAGGAACAGATTAAATTGCATAATCCAGGAAAACAACTTTTAAAACCTTGAAGAGGTAACATTTAGCTTCACTCAACTTTTGTGTTGCTTCTCACTCATCCGAGTCAGAGTAATCCTTCAAGTGTAAACAGAAGCAAACTGAAGTGTTTCTATTTAACCTTAAAGATGTTCTTATTTGAAGCTTTTTCAACTCAAAAGATTTCAACTTAAAGTGGAGCCACTAAGATAATGTGTGTGTTTTTGATCCTTCTGGCCCTCATTCTCACCTGCTACACACAGTAAAGGGTTCACTGGCTTTAACAGTTGCACAAAAGTGTATTCTGCGCTGCCGTGCACTTGATTAAGCTCGACGTATTGAGAACTGAAGAGCTGCTTGGATTATAAAACTGCTGACTCCTTTTCCCTCCATCGTTTTCTCTCTCCACCTCTTCCCTCCTCCACATCCCTCAGTATATCCCTCGCTTCTTCGAGTGTCTCATGTGATGAGGTTTGCGGAGCAGAGGGGTAGAAATGCACTCATTAACCCCCCCCCCTCCCCACCCTTCCTTTTCTTTCTTTACCTTCCTGTGTGTTTTCATCTTTTCATCTCGTTTCCACCGTCTTCATCAGATGAAGCATGACAGCACGGCACAAAAGGAGCTCACGCAGCGAAATTACACTTTCAAATTTCCCTCCCTTTTTTTTTTGACATTTCTGATCTGGGAGATTGCAAGAAATGCAACACACTCGATTAAAAGGAAAATCAAGGAAAGAACACAAACAGAAGAGGCATCGTGAAGAGAGCGCGCCAGAACTAGAAAAGTGGAGATGATGGGAGGGACAGCTGCGAAAAGAATACGTTAGGGAGGGAAGGAGGATGTCAGGGTGTAGTGATGGCTGCAGCCGCTGTGAGAACAGAAAATAGGATCAGTGATGCTTTCAAGCTAGAAATGCCAGGCAGTAAAGCTGGCTGGGACAGCACAGTGGGTGGAACAGCATATTTGAAATATGTGACTGACGCAAGCATTTTCTACTGTTTCACCATTTCCCCCTCGATTTCAAGAAACCACCTCTTCTTCCAGTCTTTACTGAAGTACTAATAGTTTGTCTGTGATGTGTTTGGGGCGTTATGTAGCAGTGGTGGTGGTGGTGGTGGGGGGGTTAATATATTTGTGCATTGCATTATGGGTAGGAAAAGGGGTGGGAGACCGTCGTGAAATGTGCAGAGATTTACTAGCTTTGCAGCAGAGCTAAGAAGCAGTGCTGTTCATGGCCGTTTGCTTGCAGTGGGGGGATGCAAAGCTTCAGCGGGACAGACAGGACAAGAGCAGGTTGTCAATGTGAGCTCAGGAGCTGTGGGGCTTTCTGCAGTCGGGATAAATTAGAGAGAGCCAAGAACAGTTCGGACAAAAAGGAGCATCAGTTCTCATCAGAGGGAAGAAGAGAAGGAAGGAGGAGGACAGAAAAAGACAAGGATGGGTAAAAGCTTGAATTTATTTTCAGACGATGACAGGTGTTATTGCATTAATTTATGTGGAACGTGTCTCGCTATATGTTAGCGTTCACACTTGATTTCTGAGTGTCGGTTTGGATTTGAGCAGTTGGATGTTTGAGGAATGTAATGCGCTTCACTTAGGTTGCACTTACAGCTCATGCAATCACTCAGCTTTGTTTTCAGTTGGTGGTTGATTGATCTCTTTCAGCTTTTCTTGATGGTGATTTCTACTGATCACGCCACCCTGTTCCATTTAAAGAAGGATCTATCTGTAGCGTCTGCATGCATTCTTTTCATCATAGTATATAGCATAGCATGTGCTGTGTTGCATTTATGATAGGAAGCATCTTGTTTTTAGTAAGGAAGGATGTATAGAGTACCTGAATCAATGGCAACTTTGGCAGGTAATATGAATGAATCTCATCTTTTGTTTTAGTGCTGAGACTGCACAGAGAAATCAAAGAACTTCATCCTCACTTTATGATTGTGTGCATCTTTTATCAGCCATTATTCATACCCCATGATTGGATATGTCTTGTTCATTTTGTAATGAATTGTGTCTAAGCACATTTGGACTTTTCCATTTAGAGGACTGATGGTCAGCAAGTAAAGAGTCTTGGATTTGATTGATTCTTGTCTGACAAGAAACATATTTGTAACACACTGGCACATTGACAATACAATTATATGTCCAAGTGAATGGGATTTTGAAAGGTTGCTGAAACATCATCTCTCTGTGTGTTTTCTGTCTGCAGGTCCAAGAATGGCTGTGTCTAAATTGTCAGATGCAGCGAGCTCTTGGCATTGATATGACCACACCTCGCTCTAAGAGCCAACAGCAGATTCACTCTCCGTCGCACCAAGCCAAACCCATTGTCCAGCCTCAGCAGCCCGCAGCACAGCCAACACAGCCCACAGCAGCAGTACAGTCCAAACCGTTGGCACAGAGTCAGTCTCCCCACCGGCAGCAGCAGCAGCAACCTCATTCTCAGCCTTACGGCCAGACTCAACCCTACACCCAGTCCCAGCAGTATCCCCAGTCTCAGCCACAGCCATACCCTTCGTCACAGCCAGGAGCCCAGACACAGCCTCACACCTCACAAGGCTTACAGACACATCCTGGATCTGGTGGTCCCCAAGCTAAGACAGGGCCCTCCCAGCAGGGTGTGAGGTCTGACCAATACTCCCAGAGAGTTACTGGAGCTCCAGGAGGTGTTGGAGGGACAACAGGAGGCTTCAGCCAGCCGGGAGGTCCTCGGATTCCCCACCCAGGTGCCGTACCACTCCCTGGTTTGACAAAGGCACCCTCGCAGCCTGATTTGGGCCGTGGCTCTCCAATGCATCAATCTGTGTCACGGCACCATGACCAGACTAGAAGTGCTGGATCCTCTCCAGCTCATAAACCTCCGAGTCAGATCCCTCCACCTGCCCAGGATGGTCTGACCAAACTGTTTGGCTTTGGGGCATCGCTCCTCAATCAGGCTAGCACGCTGATAAATGTTGACCCCCTACCCACTGCCCCCACACAGCCCAGCCCTGCTCGAGGCAAGGTGGTGTTCAGCAATGCAACTCCTGAAAACAGGCAGCAGCAGCAGCAGCAAGGGGCCGCCGGCAGCAAGCCTTTCAGTATGGGTGGTCCTCAGGCTCCAAGCCAAATGGGAGGTCCTCGTGGGCCAAGTCAAATGGGAGGTCCACATGCAGCAAGTCAAATGGGGGGTCCACATGTACCAAGTCAAATGGGGGGTCCACATGCGCCAAGTCAAATGGGGGGTCCACATGCGCCAAGTCAAATGGGTGGTCCACATACACCAAGTCAAATGGGAGGTCCTCATGTTCCAAGTCAAACTGGAAATCTTTGTGGGCCAGGCCAAATGGGGAGTTCTTATCTGCCAAACCAAATGGGGGGTTCTCATGCAGCAAGTCAGCCAGGTGGTCCACATGTGCCAGGTGAAAAAGGAGGTACCATTGGTGGATCACATGCACCAACTTCAAAGCAGCAGCAGCAGACCCAACAACAAAAAGAAATGCCAAAACAGCAAACACCTGCTCAACATCAAAAGGAGCTGCAAGGACAGCAGCATCAGCAAACACCTGCTCAGCAGCAGAAAGGGTTGCAGAAGCAGGAGCCACCGACAGCACCTGTGGTGGCTCCGGAACCGGTGAAGCCCAAAGTGAACTGCCCTCTTTGTAAAACGGAGCTGAACACTGGCAGCTCTGACCCTCCCAACTACAACACCTGTACGCAGTGTCAAAGCCAAGTGTGCAACCTGTGTGGCTTCAACCCAACGCCGCATCTGGTTGAGGTAAGAGAAGCAAACATACAAGCAGTAAAATGTACAGAGAAGGTCTCCCACGCACAAATTCATGGAAAAATGCCACAATACATTTTATTTTTCTCACAAGAAATCATTATACTGTACATACAAAGACACATTACACTCACACACAAACACACACTCCATAATTACATCCCAGACAAATCAGTATCATCAGTGGGAAAAGAAACATTCTTCTTCTGCTGGGCTTCTTCACTGAGCAGATACAGTAAGATTGAACCTCTCGTGCTGCTGTTTGCCCCGAGCTATTTTCTTTTCTCTGCTCTTCTGCTATCATTGTTCATGATGCTTGCTGAAGCATTTTTAATTGCACATTCTTTCAAACGTCTTGCTTTTGCTCTTTCACCAACTATTCATTTCTTTGCTAGCATTGAGTCACTGTTTTTTTTACCCTCTTACCTCATTACCATTTCACCACAGCTCTACTTTCTTCTATAGCCAGCTCTCCCTCAGTTAAACATCCTGCTTTTTATTCACCATTTCTGTCTTTCACCATGATCTTTAAGTTCACAGTTCACGCGACTTAATTATCTTCGAATATCACCCATTTACAGGGCACACAAATGCACATTTTTTTATTGAGGATTGAATTTCTTAGACATAATGTATCTGCAGTAAGTATTTTTTAATTGAAACGTTATTTGTTCAATTCCTGCTTGAACCAGTTTCAGCTTATTAAAATTAGCTAATTTTTCTGACAACTTTGACTCAGAAAACAACAAGAACCTATCAAAGCCTGTCGTATCAAAACACACGAGAAACTAGGCTCACAAGTGGGTATTTGAAGTACTTTATGCATCCCGTCTTGCTTGATTTTGGTAATTATAATTAAAATAAAATGATAGTAACATGAATCTCCTCTGCCATCTCTCTGAGTCACAGTGGCTGTTTTTATTAGCGGAAGCTCCTCTGAGGTTTTATTCACACCAGTGATAAAAACAATGGCATGATGTAACAACCAGCCAGCAGGTGGTAGACAAGGCAAAATTATGTTAAAAAGTTTTCATTGCATGTTGGCTCAATAAAAGTCGAGTTTCACAGTGGGTACAAGTCGTGCTAAAGCGGCTCGATAGAGCAATGGTCTTGTAATCCTGAGATTGCAGGTTTGAGCCCAGGTTGTGTCAGGAAGGGCATCTGGTGTAAAGTAATTCATTTCATGCAAGTTCACTGACTGTGCTGAGCCCTGTCGAAGGAAGCAACTAAAAGACAAACAACATGTGGGGTTAAACTGTGGAGTTGTATTTGCATTCTAAAAGTGACTATTCTGCTAATGATTTCATCATAAGCAAAAATCAACATTTAATGTCGCAAAAAGTACATTTGTGACCCATCACATCAAACCAAAGATTAAGTCAAATTTGGTGAAAATGATCTTATCACGTTTTCAGATTTCTGGCTTTAAAAGCTACGCTTTGATTTTGACCTGGATCATCCTGATATCATAAGAGGCTCCAGAGATAGGACTGCATTTGTCTTGTTAATCATGATAATACATTAATATTTGGTCTGAATCCTAATTATATGTGATTTTAATGAGGAATTGTCTATGTCATTATTAAGAGGAAATCTTAAATAGTGTTTGATAATTGAGATCTCCCAGCTGGAAATAAACAAAAACTTTGCTAGCTCACTGGGAAAAATCTCAAAATTTTAAGGAGTTTTTGCTCAAAATTTTGAAAAATGCAATTATAGCAACAATTTGCCCATTTCTCCATAATCCACTTTGAGACTTAGTGTTAGGGTTCGATGTGATGGGTCACATTTGATAAGCAAAACACTCACTTGTTTAATGTGTACAATTTTGCATTGTGTGATGAAATTGGCATGTGAGGGAAAAAACATGTGCATGGACAATGTGGTTATTTTGGGCGCCAAGTGTAAAATGAAATGTTAAAAAATATCACTAACATATTTTTCATTATTTAGCTCACTGTTCTTACATTTAGATAATATTTACTAAATGTTAAGTTTAAATTTTAAAAATATATTTAAATATGAAGTCCTAAATCTAAATGTTTAAATCTGAATTTAAAAGTTAAACCTTAAAAGTTGAAGTTCACATTTGGGTATTTTAAAATGGAACGCAGCTTATGCTGTTGGTGCTCGGCTCATGTTCATGATGTCATCATCCTGAGACAATAGCAACCACTAGCTCCAATGCAGCTAAAGCTTCCCTACAAGACATCAAACTTGCAGTTGGTGTCTGAGCTGCACTTCAAACTGCTGGACCACAGGTACCACCCCTATTGTTTTTTATGAACATATTTTGAATTTAGATTTTAAATATTATCTTTAGCAGTCTTTTTTAATGTTTTATTTTACACTTGGTGCCTCATAAAACACAGAGGTGCATCATTTTCACACCACTTTTACGACATTCTAATGGATAAACACTATGTATGCTGAGAATATGGAGTGTTTGGGAACACATTGGTTTTACATTTTGATCAAGTTTTTGAAAACTTGGAATATATTCTGTTTATTTTATAAACTAGCTGGTTAAAAAGACAATGAAGAAAGAAATATGAAGGGTGCTTTAAAGAAACAAATGTTCAGAGGTGGAAATAAAACCAGCCTAAAATTAGGATGGATGACACAAGATGAAAAGACAAAAAAATAAAAATAAAATAAAAAAGCTGACAACACACAAAAGGGCAGGAGACTGATAAAGACAAATATTGTCAACACAGCACGGGCACAAGCAAACAGAATGAGAAAGAATGACGGCTTCAAGAGAAGCATAATTACAAAATATAGACATCTTTTCTAGTTTGGCTTTTCTTCCTGTCCTCCAAAGTGCTTCTGCTCAGGGAACAAAGAAACAGGTGTAAAGGTACGCTGCACACTCACCTCCCTTTTATCGATCCAACTGCAGGCTTGGCTCTGATAGGGGGAGAGAAACAGAAAACAAGAAGTTGAAAAATATGCTGAGACATAAGAAGCTAATCTGGCCCTTAATAATCCTTAAGGTCTTCTCTCCTTTAATTTTTTAACTTTTAAATGTTTTTTTGTAGCTCCTTATTTGTCCTTTTGCCTGCGACTCTGATTTTCCTGATCAAACGCTTCAAAAATAACACAATAAGCTGTAATTGGACATTTTGCGATGCAAACATCCTCCTGCTGATTCTGTGCTCACGCCTGCGTATATTACAGCTCCACCATATAAGCAGGTGTTAATGAACGAGTGAATGAGGCTAATTCTCGAGCCAGTCTATCATTCAGGCCGTTGCAGCTGTTGCCACATGCTGTTGGAACAATTATTAGGATAACTGCAACCAGTTCACCCGGATGAATGCCAGAAAGGAGAGCTGGTGTTTGCCACCTGAAGAGAAGCAGCGCAGTATCTGACATGTGAGCCGCTGAGGTGAATTAGTGCACAGTGGGACGGATCAATTTCTGTGTTTTACTGTGAAATTATGTTCAACTTATTTTTTTCAAATTTTACCTTTTCAAATATTTTATGCTTTGTTATTAAGTTTGACCAGAATTATTTTTTCTTTGCCTCTTTTTTCCAGAAGCTTTCACAGTCAGACGAACCTAATTATATTCAAAGAATTCAATTAGGCACAAGTGGACTGCAGTCAAGATGTAGAAGCAGAGCTTAGCTGCAATTATTGTAACAGGAGTCCTAAAATAAGTGAATATCTGAACAATTACAGAAAAAACTATTCAAGGTTTTTTTTAGTCCTATCATGAAGACTTTTACCGGTGTTTTTGAAAACTTTTGAGTCTAGTAGTAAAAATAATAATAAATGATTTTAAATTTTCTACCATAGGTTTTACTCATGCTGCTCAAAAAAATCTAATAAACCAACAGAATTGTTAATAAGAATAAATAAATAAGAATAAATAAGATGAAAAACCCAAACTCGGTTAATTTTTAAGTCAATGCAACACCATAACCTTTACTGCCTCACAATGAATTTACTTTCAATCAACAAGGTTTTGTCTTGAATTTTAACTAAGCTTTGCAGATTAGAAAAATACAATAACCAGAGACCTCGCATTCCACAATGGAACATATTGTCCGTTCACTTTTATTACTGGAGATTTAAACTAAAATCATTTTTAGAGAAAATATAAAATTAAAATTTTGTTCAAACCATGTTTAAAAAATGAAAGTATGTGATCTCATGTGTGATTTTTCTAATTTTGCTTTGATCTGTTAGCACATGAAGTATAACTCTCAGCAACCACCATACCAAACTTAGCTAGTTATTGTTTTAGTTATTATAGGTTCTTTAGGGTCAATCAGATGTGGAGGCCATTTTGAATTTTGTGGCTGCAGCCTAGCCAGAATGCGGCCTACGGAGGCCACACGCTTGTGACAGTCTTGTTTTCAGATAACGAATGTTTGCCTGACCACGCGTTACCCCGTTACCATGTTGATATATTTTATATCACGTGCCTTCTGACTTGAAATGCATTAGGACATGTATTCATGTTTTCCACAGGAAGAATATCTTTACAATTAAAAACGTTACACATAAGTAAATTAAAAATAAAACATTGATAATTTGAGGTTCGCTCCAGTATCAGTACTTGCAGTTGCATTTTATTTAACTTATCACTGCAGCATAAATTTCATCAGCTAAGTTGCTAAACCTAAAAAACAAATGATCCGGTCTGTGACGATTTTTCAAACTATGCCGATATGATACAAACAAAAACTCGGCCATCTTTGTTTTCCTGTATAGTTTGACGACGCAGTGAACCCTGGGATATCCTCAGGGAAGGATACTCCGATGTAGCCAGTATTTTTAGGGCTTTGTGGGCTGCGTTTGCAGACTTCGAAGGACGCAGCCCCTGAATTGAGACACAGCCTGCAGAACCTGGTCGTTCCCACAGAGTTGATTCTGATTTCAGCTGTCTGCTCCGTCCAGGTCACTGCAGCTGCCAGCGTGAAGCAAGGTCTTGTTGATCCTTCATCACAGTTTTTAATCTCATCTTCTTGTCTTTATCTTCAC